TTTTTCAATTGTTGACTACTTTCTAAGCAAATATATTTATTCCATGGGTAATATTTATACATAACATAGAAAACAATCATGTTGTTGGTGTAATTGACAATGCACATGTTGCTGGTGTGTTGAAGCACATTTTGGATTGAAGCAAACATTTCAAAAAGATGCAAGGTCGGAGACCCCGATTCCCACTCCTCAATGTACCTTACTACAATGACAATCCTTTCATTTCAAATTGTCAAAACTATAGACAGTGTTCTATTAATCGTCAATCTGTTTACCGTCGATGAACTCTTCATTGTCACTGTTTCAGTCAAAAGGAATGAATGATACAGTACACATAACCTTGCAGTGTGGTCACGTTTGAATAACAACCACACTCGGTTAGGTTACCAAATTATTCATTTTTACCATCAACCTCTCTCTACCTTTACGGATTATGACAATCACAGAAAGTTGTTATACTAGTTTTGATGGAAACTAGGTTGAAAGAAGATATTTTCATAGATTAATGCATATTTATATCATGTTTAATAGACTACTTTATTCTAATGATTCTTGTATCCAGTGCAAGCATAATGGCAATCTTTAGATTGTTTAGACGATATAGTATCTTCGTCTTCCCATTCTGCAGTTTCTGTGTGATAACAAATATTTAAATAGTAAATGATTATCCGTTAATTTAAACATTTGTCAAATAGAACACACCAAATATACGGCATGTGGTATTCTGTGACGTCAGGTGGTGGTTATTGTGCATACCCTTAAAGTCAACGTGTCGGGATTTATAATTACCAGCTACAAGTAGCTATCCGTGGTCTATTAAGAAAAATAAACTTTCATGTGATATATCAATTAAAATTACACGTGTTACATGGGTTATTTGTATTTAATATTTCATGTTTCAAAATAAAACCATTAATCATTTTGTTTGACCTCACATCCAAATCCACGCAGATTTCACTAAGATTATGTCGTAGAATTGTCAAGGAATTTTCAGGAAAGATTTATTTGTGCCCGAATTGACTACTCATTGGGTTTTGGGAGAGATGTGTACCAAGGGAACACATATTCTGTGAGTGTTTTTTACTCATAAATCACAAGGATTGTCATGAAATAAACATGAGCGTTCATCCCTAACAGTCAATTATATTTTTTGGAGTGAACGGAATCTGGTTGCCAAGGGAACAAAAATGCACGTATGCAGTCAGGCAGGCAAGTACATGTATTAATAATTTTCACCCAGGTTACGTTCATAATATGGAAATATATATGAATTGCTATGGTAGTGTGTTTTTCAAGAATATTATGTTGTGTTCCCATACAAGGATCATATTTGGCATCATGTACAATAGATGTAGATAGAATATACAAAATGCTACAATGTTTCTTTTACTTACATTCGTCTCCTTTTTCTTTCCCTACAATTTAAAAAAAATATGCACCAAGTGTTAGATTGGATAGGTGATGTATACTTTAAAACCAAACTCGCTAAGTGCATTGGAGTATTGAAAGGATGTATGTATCCAGCAGCTAGGGCCATATTATAGATCATTGCCATGAATCATCATAGCATAACAGTAGTATGTGTTTGTGAATCAAATGTCATATAACATGTACAATAATTACAGCGCCAGTCTTTACAGTACGTTATTGAACATGAGTTTGTTCTGATTCGTACACAATATTTGTCATAGAAACAAATATACATTACTGCATACCGAATCTACCCATTTATATATCCAGGATTATTTAAATAAATCATGAGAATGCGACTAGTGCGAAATGTTGAGTGCAGGTACTGAACGCATAAACAAATGAATGTATGCATAAATAAACAATGCACAATAGTTTTCATAAGAGAAGAGCATTCTATCGTTCAAACAAGTCAACAAACACAACTACATTAAAGGCTGTATATTCTTATTGGTACAAATATGTAGTGTAGTGTATTTATCAATTTGTCAATTAACATATTAATATAAGTGTTCCGTATGCATATCATTAATGACATCGTACACTTCGGATTTGGATAGAATATGCACAATGTTACCATGTTAGAATATTGTTGTTAATATCACCTTGTGCTAGGTACTGACTTCCTTTCCAGATCGCTACAATTAAGAACATATGCACCAAGCGTTATATTTGATAGGTGGTGTTAATGTGAACCAAATTTGTCATGCTCTTTAAACAACTACATGTATAATTTTAAAAGTTTAATTAATGGAATCATTCCTTAAATGTGAAAGAAACATGCTGTATTTTGGCACATCATATCTCGGGTTGAGTCAAATGAGGACAATATTAATTCTACTGGTGACTCTCATTACATTATAGGTCGTTTCCCTCTGTATAGTTTGTCAATTGGAATATTATTTTGTATTTTTCATATTCGGATCAAAATTCATATCACTTATATCGTATGTGGATATATTGTACACAATGTTGTTTATCTCAATTATTAGTACTTATCTTTACCTTCTCTTCGTTGTTCTCTCTGTACATGGGATAGATGAAAGCATAGTTTACTGAAACCACACTCACTATGCTATTCATACAATTTAAGAGTTCTGTTGTTGATAATGGCATTATAACGTAATTACAATTTGTCTACATGATACAAATATCATAATACACTTATAATAATTAAAGTTCTGGTCATGCGACAAACTCGATATACCTACAACTACATTGAAGTCTACATATTATATACAGTGTGTTTATGTATTGTTTGTCAATATAAATATCATATATGACATCGTGTATGATGGATTCGGATATAATATCCACAATGATGTTAGATTATATTATTGTTTCTTAAATTTACCTTTTCTGGAGAACCAAACCTTTCCACTTCATCTACAAATACAAATTAATGCACCATGTGTTTGATGTGATACTGTTTATCTGAACCAAATTCGCTATTCCCTTTATTGGATTGAAGGATTTTAAGTATCATGCTAGTAATTTGATATGATACATCATTGTCTTAAATAACTATAGTGTGATTTTATGATTAAAATGTCACATACACGTACATTAATTAAAGCGCCAATCATCGTAGTGGGTCATAAGACCCGATATACTTTAAGGTCACACCACCGAGGTAAAATTGCAATTACACCTATAAGGTATATAAATAATCTTTATGGACAGTGTACGGCTTTTGTTGCCCTCTGTCTTACGGCTTCTGACAGACGACCTCGGGCCACAAAAGCCATATCCCGCCAATAAAGATAAAAACAAACGCATATCACTGTGCCCCAAACTTTGTACTAGTATATAATCACAGTATTTTCAAATTATAGGTTGGTACAATACAAAAACATAGTCTCTTTAGACTTTCTTAAATATCTGTATATATATATATATATTTATATTCATATTCAAATATCTGTTATCAATTGAAGGCAATGTACATTAAGTTCACATGTTCGTTTCTCATTGATATGTATGTATTGTAGCGTGTTTGTCAATTACACTATTATTTTACGTTTCCCATACACGGATCATAGTTGGCATCATCCATGATAGAAGTAGATGGAATATACACAATGATAAATTGTTACTTTTATTTACATGAATTCCAATCTCTTACGTTATTCCCTACAATTTGAAAAATATGCACCAAGTGTTAGATTGGATAGGTGGTGTTTACTTTGTCCATGTAACGATTGAAAGGATGTATGTACCCTGCAGCTAGAGTGACAATATAGATCATTGCCTTGAATCACCATAGCGTAACAGCAGAATGTGTTTGTGAATGAAATGTGACATTACATGTATAATAATTATAGCGCCAGTCTTTACAGTGCGTCATAGAACATGAGTTTGTTCTGTTTTGTACACAATATTTTGTCATATAGAAACAATTATACATTACTGCATACCGAATCCATTTTTATTTAAATAAATAATTGTATGCATAAATAAAGAATGCACACTACCGGTAGTTGTAATAAGCATTCTACTTTTCAAACAAGTAAACCAACTGAACTACATTAAAGGCTGTTTGTTCTTATTCCTTTGATATTCTATTGTTTGTCAATTAACATATTAATATAAACCGTATGCATATCATGCATGAAATTGCACATATTGGATTTGGATGTAATATATACAATGTCATGTTAGAATATCATTTCTTAAATTTACATATTACTGGCATCCAAAAACTTTTCCTAATCTCTACAATTAAATATTCACCAACCGTTATATTTGATAGGTGGTATTCATTTGAACCAAATTCGCCATGCTTTTTGAACGACTGAAGGTTTTATGTTTGTTGCTATATTTTGACACCAAAAATAATTGTCATAAATATCATACATAACAATATTGGTTCTTCATGATTCGACACGTATAATAATTAAACCTCTAATCATGTAAACATGCAAACAAGCGCTTATCACTTTGCGCCAAACTATATATTCCATATATGCATTTTTAAAAAAATAATGTTACTTTAATTTACCTTGTTCTGCACTCCAATCTACAAATCAGAGAATATATGTGTTAGATTTGATAGGTGGTGTTTATTTGAACTAAACTCGTAATACCGCTTAAAGCATGTTCAACATATATAATACATGTTCGTACAATACACTGAACAGGGTTTGCCCACGCTTTCTTAAATACATGCAATGCGACTTGTAAAAAATGCTGAGTGCAGGTACTGCACGCATAAACAACTATATTACGTAAATTAATGCCCGGATGTCCGCCACAGAATATTATATTCAATGTGCTGTTAAGCCAATGATTCTTTATTCATATGCATCAGGAGGTTAAAACAGCAAGCAAAGGTACTTTTCCTAGCGAATATAAATCTTCTCCATGGTAATTGAATATGTTTGGCGGGAAAAAAAATACTTGAGCAGGAGTGAGCTTATCTTTTAACCAATAATATGCTAATTAGTTTTGATGTCTTATAATCGTTTTCAAATACCAGTCTCAATATGAGATGACAGACTTGAATATCATCATTTAAATGTCACTTATGCAAACGAAGATTGGAGGAGGGCCACCAATACAAAGACAATTCCTAATAAAAACTGATACCAACAAGTAACCTGTAGAATACTGTGTGGGTAATATTTTTTATATCGATTTTTGTTGCATTTGCAGCAAATAGTTACCAAACAATGAGAAATCTATAGGATTGAATATACCCCACAGCTGGC